AATCATAAGTCACAAGGAGTGGATGCATCTGCGCCATCACTGGAAACGATTTTGAGCCATGTCACCAATTGTTTCCAACCATTTGTTTTTACCGTCTCGAGGACCCCAACCAGGAAGCCAGTCTACACCTTCCTACATGGCTAGCTTAAACTAACTGTTGTGGATTTCATTGACTGGTGAGGCCGTGTTTTGGTTTGACCGCCGCCAGCTCTTTTCTAGTCTAACCCTATGTCGGCTAACATTGCCCGTTGAGGAAGGCAATGGCTAGATGTGCATATGTAACACATGTCCTAACCATCTCAGTCGATGTAACTTCACAACCTCGTCGATTGATTTCCTCTGCTTACCTAGAACTCGACGCCTAATCTCAATATTACTCACCCTACTATACCACTTCACACGGGAGATAGAGCGCAGACACCTATGATCAAAGACAGATAATCTTTTCATGTCTTCCACTCTCAGTGGCCAGGTCTCACAGCCATAAAGGAGGACGGAGCGGAGTGATGAGCAGTACACCCACCCTTTGGTCGATAGTCGGATATCTCGTCTACGCCAGAAACGGCGTAAACCGGCATATGCGAAACTAGCCCTCTGTATCTGTGCTGTCGTTTAATAACCTTGGTAGAAATTCAGTACTTCAGCGACATCACCGTTAAATATGCCAACGATCTAACCATTTCTGTCCTAGTAGTTACTACTTTGGATTGTTCTTATATGAATAGACAATTATCTGAAGTTACAAAATGGTCTCACCTAATTGGTCTTAAACTGAATCCATCTAAATGTCATATTGTTGATTTTAGTTTCAGATGCGAACAAGACTTGTATGCGTGGACTGATTCAGTCGCATGATTCCTGTTATATTGACGGTGGTGTGATAAGTGGTGAATCGATCATCTCCTATCTCCGCATCAGTTTCTTTTCGAATCTTTGTTGGTCTTCTCATATCTAGTTGATTTCTCAGAAAATCTTTTGTCTGAATTAGAACACAAATAAGTTGAGGTATTCCGGCATAACTCAACCTCTTCTCTTACAATTTATATAGTTCATACATTCTACCCATTCTTCTTTATTGTCCACCCCTATTCTTCCCTAGACTTCTTAGAAAAAAGCCTATGTCATATTCTGTAGAACAGTGAAGGCTGTCATGGTGTGCTTCTGACTCAACTAATGGATACTATTGTCAACAAGAATTTTAATTCGTACAAGTAGTTACCTTAAGTTATCTTATCTGATACCGAGCATCCACCTTATTCGCAACATTTTGCTTGTGTCTCTTCGGGTAAAACCAGGAAAAAATTCAAACATACCATATTTAGCACGATTTTTGTGTGAAGAGTTACATGTCAGAAAAGAACTTATATACAAAGTCCTATGTTCAAAACAAACAAACAGACAGACAGAGGAGGAGACGAAAGACTATGGTCACTTGTGGGGCCAACTAAGAAGTGCTTCAGAGAATAGGACAAAATGGAGATGGTGCTGTTGAAGAAGAGAAGAAGCTAAGAAAACAATAACGATAGTAATAATAATATTGATAATAGCAAACAAGGGATCACAAAGAGATGTTATGCATAGTAATTGAAGTAAGTACATGTACGGAAGCTGGTCCACGGAGTTATCTTTAGGTCAAATAAGGGTAAAAATATCCTGTTTGGTGTTTTACACATTAATTATTTAACGGTATCTCCTAAATAATGACATTTTTTTAAAAACTGAATTTGCTTACTTCCTCTTGACTAGCTTGTCCAAGTTCAGAGTCATTTCAACAGTCAACCCTTAAGACCACTGCTCCTTAACATCACTGGAGAATTATACTGTTAAACAGTCTACAAACTTTGATTTACAATTTGTTAACAAATTTAAGAGTCTCTAGAATCATTCATTCGGATCAGGGTGATTTGGCGGCTGCTATTCTGTAGCTTTGCTGAAATAATACTTATCCCTACTTAATTCAAATTTCTCAAATAAGTAAATCTCGATAAGCTTAATGATAACAATGTCTGAAAATGAAAAGACAACACATAAAATACACAAATGATTGATTGAAATTCAAATAGTTTGTCACGACCTTTGGAAATCACCTGAATCACGATCTATGACATTGAAATGCTTACAATAAAACTGCACTTTAACATTCATATAAAGGACTGATTACTGAGAAAAATACAATTTCTGAGAAGTTAAAGAACTCTAGGACTTAATTACTGAAAAAATCAACCAACTTTTCTTGAATATCACTCATCCGAGTTGTGTCATTTTCGGTAAGTTCCCTTATCACATATTTGTAATACGTGTAAAAGACAACACTTATCTACTCAAATAACTAATCATCGATATAAAATTCATATCGCAAACTGCTCAGAAACGTGTACCGCTTTTGTGAGAAAGCTATTCGGATTTCCGGACAAATTAATACTACCAATGCATGGTTAAGAATGGAAAGCCTTACCTCTTCACGGACGATCTCGAAATAGGAAGTGATTTCCACTATGATGACAAGTGTTGAAAGTAAAGTACAACACGAATCAAGAGTCTCGAAGATTGGAACGAAAAGTCCTGACCAGTACAATATAGCCTACTATGAACGTTGGAAAAATAAGCATATATACATATGGTAACATCTTTTCAAACCTACACACAGATCTTGCGTTAATACAATCATACCTAACCTTTTCTGACCAAGAAAAAAAGCTATTATCTAAAGATAATAAGTTTACAGGCCTCGTTCTGCGCAACTTTCACAAATCACAAGGCATATACAAGACATGCATTCGCTCCAAACATGAATACTATCCCAATTATATAGTAACCTCTTCTTAATAATAACCTAAGTTAAGCTGACAGAAGAGAAAAGTTGAGTATCCAAAGAAACCTCACAAAACACACTGTAGAATTTGACTATGTTGACTGAAATTTCAATCCTTAAGGTCAAAACGAGTGAACTGCAGCTAATTTAATCACTTCACAGTTATTAGATAACACTGTTAGAGTAACTCATCCGTAGAAAAGTTTAGACAGAGTCTGGACAAGCTCATTAACCTATTATTCTTAACCCACTTAAAAGATCTCAACTGTCAGCTAGACGATAAAACAAAGACTGTCCAGCCTATCATTGGATCAGCTAGATAAATCACTATACACGTGCTGTAAACTATGTGGGTTACTCGAGTAACTATAGCTGGTGAATTGGCCATCATTTCATGTGATGAGGTCTTCATAATGCAATCTTTACCCTGTAATATTCTATCACATATCTGGCATATCGTTCTCCTGCTTTACTAAGTTTCTTTCCTTTCTTCCCCTCACTAAGTGGATATAGGATAAGTATTTCTTGGAAAATTGTCTCTAACTACCACACCAGTTTCACAACCTACCTATCTTAGGGGAAATGATCACCTTCAGTCAATAGATACCTATTTTTTTATATCGATCTCAAACTTATGTTTGAAATTTGTTCTGTAATATCATTCTCATCACATAAGCAAACGGACAACGTTGCAACGGTTAACGCACACTATACTGAAAAAAACACTTAAAAATAACCGCAGCTGCCACGTCATCTAAGCCATCCACATTATGGAAAGATGTATGTCCATATCACTGAGGCCTCCTAAGGCTGAGGGTTGCCTAACAACCTTCTAAGGATGAAAAGACCCTTTAATGTACCTTCTACAGCACTAAAATAAATTGGTCAAACTAAGTCAACTTAATAACTAAATAAACAGGTAGACTGCCACCGGATACTTTAAGTGTTACAAGTTTCGTTTCACTGGGTGTGCATTCGACTAGGTTCGGAAGCCATCTCACCTTCTTTTGTCCCGGCAACACGCATATCCTCAGAATTCGTAATTTATCCATGCCAGCTAGATAAGTTCCAAAATAGTCTCCTCGAATAGTCTAAGTCTTTTATTCTATTTGTATGTATTAATCACCAAAGTACACTCATAAATAAATGAACACTTTTTATTAGTTTTCACTACTCACTGGTCAGGTAGTGTACTGATTAAGTGGGTAATTGCACATATTACGTTAAGGTTGGTACAGTGTAGCACATCAACGTTATGACCAATAACTTACAATTGGCAAGCCGGAATATTACTTTTTGCCATGCCTTTAACCTGATTCATCCATTATTTTTTATTACTAATTTTGTATTTATTCTTATATTTTCGTTCGTTTGTAACTGAAATATTATTACATTCCCACTGTAAATTAACATAAGATAGCTAAAAACGACCCTCCTACGTGGGTAGTAACAACACTTTAGATTCCAAACTTCTGAGTATAATGATCGCAAACAAAATCTAAATGAGAGGTTAGCAATATGCTCAAAGAAACTGAAATAAGTAATTCCAACTTTTTTTGGGCAAACTCATCCGAAGTTTGTAGGGAAATTAATAAAAATTAAAATAAAAGAGCTATATATCTGTGAATACATAAAGACACATTATCTTTTGAATACCTTGTCCAAACATGTGATTCATGAACAGATATTAAACAAAGGCAAACATTTAGTTACCAAGGAAGAGACCAACGAGGGAATAAAATTGGTTCAGTTTAGTCTTGAGTCAAATAATTACCCGAAAGCCTATATGAAAAGACATTTAAAGAGTGAAGATAAGTGTGAATCAAAACGCATTGCTGATACGCCTGCCTAGTGAGTGCTAACAAGTGCGAATTCAAGATCCAGGGCTTCGTGTTGCTTAACTCCAAATATCTAACATCAATTCAGTGTGCAACGAGATGGCGAGTTACTTAGTACGGTGACCACATTGTAAACTCGATTGATAGAATTTTGTCTGAACCAACCTAAGGACCAAACGTCTGACATTGGTCACTACTAAGTGATTAGCTTTGTTTAACACTTGATAAAGAGAATAGAGATTTTAACAAGCGATCCATCTATGTATCAATGGAAAAATTATGAAGCAGATAATCTAACAGTTTCTGCAATATGATAAAAATTTACATAGAGGAAATCAACTCAGACTTACAAATCTGAGTTTAAGGGTAGATCAGGCCATACCGGTGAATCAACACAGGGCGATAAAAATATCGCATGGTGTAATAAGGAAGTTTCACACATTTGAATTTGAGCGGCAATCGAATCCATGTCGTCAGTTTTTTCAGTTTTAGGAGGTGGTTGTAACATTTTTTTCAAAGCCTGTGAATTCACTGCAACATTATCACGAGTTCGACGATGATGTAGAGTTTTCATCATAAAATTAACGTATTCCGGATCAAGTGAAATATCGCTTTCATCTTCTTCATAATTGGTCTCATCTTCAGGATGCAACGGAGTTTTTATACTATCGAGAGCATAGGACGGTAGAACATTAGCTAAGCTATTCATACGATCAAGTGTATCGTTGTATGCTTTCCTAAAGTATTCTTGCTTGCGGAATAGCCGAAAAACTTCAGACTCAGCATGTTTTAGCAAATTGAGAGTAGCAACATCTTCAGCAGATGGCTTAGTTAACAAAGGTTCTCTCGGAAGTTGTTTGAGAAATTCCAATTCATCTTCAGTCAACGTCGGAGAGAATATTTGGGACATGTTTTCGGACAATCCATTGTTGAAGCTCATTTTTTTTACTTGACACCTATGAAATAAAAAACATACTTGTCAGCAAAAAAAACGGCAGGCAGAAAAAGTTAGGCTAAAAAAGATGCTCAACATAATATAACGAGCATTCATGATTGAGAAAAACGACTTTGTGTTTGCACTGTATTGTCTTCAAAATCAGCAGTATTTGGCGTCAACTCACTATAGGCTGCAATAACTCACCTTGAGTGTAATCACCTAGTATACCGGAACGGTGTAACAAAGTCACTTCGTATCACCTCCATGAGTGACCTAGACATCCAATATCCAATATCGTCTCTACGAGCTAGCATAAATCAGTTTGACTTCTTTGGACTCACTTCTTGGTTGTCAGGTGAAGGTTCCTGATCTTTGGTAAATTGGACACAGTGGTTACGACTCTCTCCTACCATGGACATTGTCCAGGGTTCGATCCCTTGCCGCCGCACACCTGATATCTATGGTCGGAATGTAAAATTTCGGCTATCGATATCACATGCTGAAAACTCCATACTTGTACCAAAAATACTGTGTAGCATCAAGCTGTAATCAAAATAAAAAATAGCTCGTCCCACCACCGGACTGACGTAGCTTTGGTTGACTCCAAAAGGAGTGATGTTGGGATTAGTTTTACGTTGTTTGTGGTATGCCGTGTGCTGAGACTGTTACTGTTGTGAATGGGGTTGATCCTTTTAACAACTGGTCGTCCAGTGTCATCGACAAATGGAAAGAGATAATAATAATAAGAGATATAATTAGTGCAGTTTATTCAAACTAAGAGATAGAAAAAGAAATATAGCGAACATGAAAACGGACAGCTGATTAAATCTGAAGCTGATATATACATATATATATATATGATATCAGTATTAATAATAGTAAGCGTAGTAGCTGGGGTTGTCGGGATATTAAAACGGGAGAGAGTGTTAAGAAGTCAAACGACGAACTTAGTTGTCTAACCATGAATGGTGTATGGGATTTTAAGCAGATAGGACACACAGCTACATCTGCCGGTAAGGAGTTCTAGGGACCGTAAACCTGCAGTGAAAATAAGTGGTAGCGAAACGGGATAATTGCTCTATGGTGAGCTATCCTTCTGGGATTTCCACGAGAAAGCTCACACTTACTCAATGACAGAACACCTATGTTTGGGTGATTCTGGTCATTTGTTATTTTGTAGGCAGTAATCAATTCCCCTAAGCCGACAGCAGCTAAGTGTCAATATGCCTTATTTCTTTAGCCTTTCATCGCATGGTTTATTTCGAAGACCAACCACTCCTTCTGTCGCCCGTCTTTGGACTCTTTCGAAGAGGTTGGTCTCTTCTAAGCAGTGGTGGTGCAACAATATTATGCACCTCAAGGCGTGGTCTCACGTATGTTTTATACAATCTTAGAAAGAGTTCAGGAGTGTGTGCACCTAACTGTCTATGTGTAAAGTGTATGACCGCATATGCCGCCGCTACACCCCCCGTGCAAGTTATGCCTGTATCCATCTCCTCCGTTAGAACTTGACCTAAGTCAAGCTCCATCTTTTTGCAGTACACTCTTTCATTGCACAGAGTGCAACTTGCATTCTTCAGCCTACAGGTGAGCAGTTATATTGCTTTGCACTTTTTCAGGTTGAGGGTCATGCCACTGACCACCGCCCAGTTTTCCAGAAGGATTAGATCTTCCTGCAGCCTTTCTGAGTTTACGGGGCACTCTGCTGCTCTCCATATCTTTGAGTCGTTAGAGAATAGAAGAGCCGGGCAGCTTAGACAGCATCACTTATAAAAATCAAAAATATCAGTAGTCCTAGGATAGACCCCTGCGAAAATCCTGATGACGAGCCACGCTAGAATGATCGGACTCCATATACCCTAGGGCGAAATTTCCTTTCAGCTACGTAGTATTTCAGTCATGACAGAATTGGATTACTTATGCATGTATGACTTATTTTGTGTGGGAGAAGGTCAAGGTGAACTTACCAAATGCCACCTCAGTGTATGGGAAGACTACATAGACAGGAATATTCATATCGCAGCATGATCTTCAGTCGTCCCAAGCCGAAAGTAGGTGTGAAACATAGGATCTGTGTCAGCCAACTCACAGAAACTGTCAGTGTCCAGCTCTTACTACGCTAGACCTCACGCTGTCCCTCGAAGACTTTCATAAACAATTTGTAATAACCAACGTGAAAAACCAGAACACACATTGGCGACTCGAGAATCCCTTATTCTTACGCCAACATGTAACCAGCAATAAGGTAATTATACACAAGGTCTAAGAATAAACGTTATAACAATAAATCACGATTATACTTCTGATAGTTTTTAATCTTCCTTCTGAACAGCGAACGATGAGACGATGGCTGCCGTATTGATGACCCGCGAAAATTATAGGGGAGTTGGGTTTGAGCAAACAATCATGAATTGATCGTTCAATCTTCAACTACACTGACAAGTCACAGTACACCAAGCAGATAGTTATAGGTATTACCTGTCAACAAGATTATATTCACAGATTCAGTGTCCAAAATGCAGGTAATTACAGTAGGTTACACAATTTTTTGGTAAGAAACTCCAAAGAAATAATAGTTTTGTATAACTGCGTTAATGTGACGTAGTAATGGAAAAGCACGTCAAGGTCAAGTCCGTATCCGAGAATGCCGTGTGAATAATCCCATCCTTCCAATTCCAAGTGTTTATTCACAGATAACCCAGCCAATACTATGGACCATTCTGCATCGGAAAAAAATCTCTGTGTTTCAGCATAGTCAGTCTTTCCATAACACAGACATGGTCGCGTAGAGTCCCACTGTAAGTGCTCAGGGAGAACTAGATCGAATCCTATGACCACGTAGTCACTAATCCTTAGTGGAGTCATGATTTCGACATTTTCGACTAGTAGTTGGTCACTAGTTAGAATATAGCCAAGTTTCTATGACTTTCCACTAGGGCCGTACCTGAAACATTCTCAGTCAGTCCTGCGTTTCCATTTGTACGTAGTAGATTTCGACCGAATTTTTCCTGAGCATATCCCTAGTTAAGGTCTAGGGATGGGGCGTTGAAAACTCCAAGTCCCGTACCCCTCTGATGGTGCTGAGCAGTAGCTGTTTGTGGTCTACTCTATAGGTGGGTGATCGGTAGGTTCCGCCCAGTAAATGCTTGGTGTGGCCTACGGTGAAATGACACCAAATGGAGTCTGGGAGTTCAGTGGGTGGTGGGGCCATTGCACGCACACACTTAAGCCGCTTGTCAAAGTATATGGCAGCTCCCCTCTTCCTTGTTATTCCTGTCTCTCCTAACCAGAATCACATCACTTGAACTCACTTCGTTCTTTGCATCTGTGGGGGTTGCTAGGTTTCAGTCACTGTTATTATTTTCCCGTGTAGGTGTGACTGGGGTCTCTGAGTTCACCTACTTTCCCTCTCAACCCTCTCGCGTTGTTATACAGGCAGCTGACAGTGACTCCCACAACCTCAGTGCGTTGTGGGGTAGTTGGTGTTACGCTGTCTGCTGGTGGAGGACTTAATATTGGGACTAGTTTGCTGATTCCGATGGAACTGCCCCCTTGTCGTTTATTACGCGAATTCAGCTAAGACACTTAGATGACACTTGCTGTCACTCTGAGTACTGCATCGCTGTAGTGTTTTACTGAGGCGTGAGAACGTGTTGGGACCCCACTTTCCTGTCCCCTTTTGATTCGAGATCTTCTCCCGCAGAGTCGGATATGTTCTCTCACTTCAACCTTGATCTCGTACCACGGTTGAAATACTAAAGCCAACTTCTACGATGGGCTGAATTTGCCGCTTTGTGGCCTTGGGGAGCTAGCCAATGTGATATGAGAGGGACGAGGTGGCTGACAAGTCGGGATCCCCTTAGAAGCACTAACAGCCAATTGAGATCACAGCCACCTCGATTGCTGGTCGCCAAGCATGTGTTTTCACAGGTATTATCATTTTCCAGCACCGGAACTCTGTGCATGGCCATAGAGTTAGAGGGAATCAGTTCCGGTGACTGCCTCACCATCCAACCGTTAGCTCAGAGTCTATCATGCCCTATTCGTATGTTGGAACGCCTGTCGAAAGCTAATATTTGAACCAGTGACAATATGCTTCCAGCCTCTTTGGCAGAACCCAGTATCACCCTGTATGTTCTGCACAATTTTGCTGAATTCATGTCCAGTCATCCATTATTTGACATAGTTGTGAGCTACTCTGTTGCTTTTATTCCTAACCATATACATATGAGTGCATACAATTTTAATCCAAGTTCTGCCATCACATCAAGTGTGATAGAATTGAATTCTTTCTGCATCTGATTTTTCCTCTAATGAACCAAAATGGTGACTGCTCTCTGGTTAGACGTCTAACCAGAACGATAAACGTGGCTTTTTACTCTGCATATCTGTTCCTATCTTTCAGTAGCCTTCGAATTTTCACTCTAAAACCCAATCTCAGCTCATCCTCGTGCATGTGTAAGAGTAAGACTTGACTTAATGTAGACCTCAAAATAACCACCCTTGCAAAAAACTTCACCGCTTTATGACCTTAGCTTTACTCTGCCTAACGTGCAAGTACTGGCGAACGAAATCAAGGTATAAAGACTCCAGATGACAAGTCTGTCTGGAACAGAGTTATATTTTACACAAATGAGATTTGAAATTTGATAAATAAAGAGGTTATACAACTTATCCGCTGCATTGACTGGTGGTAGGCTCGGAGAGTGCGCTGAATGAAAGCATAATAACAGAGCGAACCAAAGAACGTACAGAAGAGCCGGCAGCCTGTAGACGGACGTAGGTCATTTGATCAGCTGATGGATATTGGCGTTATTTATTGGATAAACGTCAAGGTTAGGTCATTTTTCGTTGTTTTTCACACTTTTTTAGCTATATTCCTGCTAAAAGTTGATGAAATGCGGCCTATTTAGCAGAAAGAGCATATGGTGGTGTCCTTATCCGGACGTAGGTCACAGGCAGTTTACAGTTTGCTGAAAATACATAATTTTTCCGTTCAGAAA